TCCGAACTCTGCTCGGCCTCTCCGAATGTAGTAGGCACTAACTCATCGATACTCTCCACCGGAAGTGCATACACAACTGTGTCGGCATACCGTGCTGGCATCTGTATGTTTCTCCTCTGTCCCCTAGCCGCAATAGAATCCTGAACCTGAGCCGTCGGTTCCTGATCCTGCACATTTGTACTCGTATCCTCCGTGTCACCGTCATGCTCGCCTGGCGTCACCTCAGTCGGCACCTACATGGATACTGTACCATCTGGACAATGTGGAGCTGCATCGATCTCCACCACCTGCGATATCTCCTCCGTCGGGTCGCTCTCCACCTGATGATACTCAGCACAATCTTCTTATCAACTGGATCCCAAAGCTTGTATCCCTTTACACCACGCTTGAATCCTACAAATATGGCCTTCCTGGCTCGATGTTCTAATTTATCAGTTCTAACATGATAATATACAGGACACCCAAATACCTTGAGCTGGTCATAGTCATGTGCTGGATTTCCCGACCACATCTCCATAGGGGTTTTCCCCTCAATCGCAGATGAAGACAGCCTATTAATGAGGTGGCTCGCATATGTAGGTGCCTCAGCCCAAAAGATCTTCTCTAAACCACTCTACGACAATAAGCATCGGATCTTCTCCAGTAAAGACCGATTTAATCTCTCTGCCACCCCATTCTGCTGCGGTGTATGACTAACCGTGAAGTGCCTCTCTATGCCCTCATCTCGACATAGCTGCAGAAAGGGGTCTGATGTGTACTCGCCGCCGTTGTCGGATCGCAACATCTTGATCTTTCTCCCAGTCTGCAGTTCCAATCTCTTCTTCCACTCCACAAACAAATCTAGGACTTCACTCTTCTTCGTCATGGTGTACACCCAACAACGCCTAGAATAGTCATCTACAAAAGTGACGAACCAATGTCTACCACCAAGTGATGCAGACTTAGTGGGACCCCAAACGTCTGTGTGCACGTAATCCAGGATGCCCCTCATCTGATGAATGGCAGTCCCGAACTTCACCTTTGTCTTCTTGCCAAGAACACAGAACTCAATCTTCCCACTCTTGGCTCCCTTTAATAGCTCCTGCTTACACAATGCTTGCAGTGACTTTTCACCTGTGTGCCCCAACCTATAGTGCCAAAGTCTGCTCATGTCCGCTTCTGAAATAGCCAAAGCAACCTGGCCAATCTCGGTGCTTCCCTTCAGATAATACAAATTCCGATTGCGGACTCCCTTCATCACCACCAATGATCCCTTAGTAACCTTCGCTACAGCGTTTTCGAAAGTCACCTTGAATCCCTTCGCCTCCAAAGCTCCAACTGAGATAAGATTTTTCTTCAGTTGAGGAACAAATCTCACCTCCTTCAACTCACGGACTACTCCATCGTGCATCCTAATCCGCACGGTACCTATTCCACAAACGCCACAGGATTGATCATTTCCCATGACAACAACACCCCCGTCGACTTTCTCAAAAGATGCAAACCAGTCTCGCCTAGGAGTCACATGAAAAGTAGCGCCAGAATCAAGCATCCAATCTAATGCATCCACATGGTTCACCTCCGGAGTAATCAGTAGCGAAAAGCACGAATTATTAGAATCATCGTCTTTCGCAATATTCACCTCATTGGACTTCGGGCCCTTTTTCTTGTCATTCTCTTTCTCCTTGAGCTTCGGGCAGTCTCTCTTCCAATGTCTCTGCTCCTTACAGAATGCACATTGGTTCTTTGCTAATTGGTGGCGGCCTCTAGACTTTGACCTTCCTCTATTACCACCTTTCGGATATGGGCTTCTACCTCTCGTCGATATGGGCTTCACCTCACATGAAGTGCTAGCACGGGAAGTCTCCTTGTCCTTCCTCCTCAAATCGTAATTGGTCAATGCGTTAGTCACTTCACTATAGCTGATAGAAGATCTCCCGTTTAACAAAGTGAGCACGAAGGTATCATACTCTTCATCCGGTAAGGAGCCCAACAAAATAATCGCCTTGTACTCATCCGATATCTTCTCATCAACATTCGCCAAATCTGACAACAACTTAGTGTAGTTGTTCACATGAGCCGCTAGCGAGGTGCCTCTGGACATCTGAAATCTGAAGAGTCTTCGCAGCAAGTGGAACATGTTCTCAACACTCTTTGTGAGATACTTGCTGTTGAAAATTTCCCACATCTTCATTGCAGACGTCACCCCAATCACATCATATTTTAGCTCATGTTCCAAACAGGACCTGATCACCCCACAAGCGTTCCCATTCATCTTCTCCCATACCGCCTCATCATATTTAGGTGGCCTCTCGTGGACCATGATGGTCTCTTCCAAGTTCTGAGCATTGACATGATGGTCTCTTCCAAGTTCTGAGCATTGAGCGCATCCTGTACGTCGCTCATCCACAAACCAAAGTTAATTTTTCCGTCATACTTCACCACACTAATTGAGCGCATCCTGTACGTCGCTCATCCACAAACCAAAGTTAATTTTTCCGTCATACTTCACCACACTAATTTTAGTATTCTGAAAACCAACTTGTATTGTACTTGCCATCGATTTGTTACTTTCTCCTTCTTCTCTCATTGCGAACTAACTCCAAATTGTAGAGAAAGAACAAATTTGATAGAAATTAGGAACCACCCAACTGAACCCTAGATCGGATTCCAAATAGATCTCCTATCCACACGAGGAAAGCGAAATCTCCAACGGCAATTCCTAATGCCATCTCCACCGAAGCCTAGAACTCCAAGAACCAATCTTCACACAAAATCTTCCTCCACCAAAAAAACCTAGATCTGAAATCTGGGCTCTGATACCACTTGTTGGGCGCAGCGGAAATTTCGGCAGCGGAAATTTCGGCAGCACTTCGGCAGCACAACAAGAGAGTCAGGTCGCAATAAGAATTCTTGTTTCTCAAAGGGAACAAGAATCTGAAGCCTAATATCTCATCAAAGTGAGATATTAGCTCTTCCTCTCGTCAGCTCTAGGACTGCGCGTCGAGGGAACCTAAAAAGCTATTACAAATCACTCAAATAGCAGTACAATCAATTTTACGTGGTTCGGCAAATTGCCTATGTCCATGGGGCAAGGAGGGGGAGATCTACTATTAGAGGGAGAGATTACAACTAGGGTTTACAATCACTCACAATCTAAACCCTCACACAAACTCTCAGATCCCTCACAATATCTCTCTACAAAAGGCTGCACAAAAAAACAAAGAAGAGACTGCACAAATTTTTCTCCCGCAGTCACCCGACAAAACAAATTCGTGCTCTCTTTGCTGCAGCCGCCTAACACCAAAAAAAAAAAACTCCTTAGCTTGCACGAAAACCTAAAACAAACAAATCAAGTGTTATATATAAATGATTAGTGGGCCTTCGTTCGTGGGCTTCATGCGGAACATCAAAACCGAAACCGAGTCGGTTTTGTTCTCTTCGTACGCGGACAGAATTGTCACGTGGGTGGGGGCCCACGTCCGCTCACACCTCCTTCAGCAGCTATCCAACAGGAAAATTAAAGAGCATATGATTGCTGTTTTGGATGACTTTCGACCCTCGAACTCCTAATAAGAACGTCCCTCTCTGGCCTTTAACCCCATCGGTCTCATTCACGGTAAACTCTTGAGCATCTTTTCTTTTCCTGCGTGATAGCAAAGGGAGTATGGGAATTTTATTCACATAGAACGGGTCTGAATCTACATAGTTTAACTTCTCATCTATTATAAAATAAACGGCAAGGGATGTTTCTTTCCTAGTGTTTCCGGGGAGCAAGAGACGACTCCATTTTTGACGGGGTTAATTAAGTTGGAAATTATGAAGATCATCGTTCATAGTGCTCGCTTTCGTTCTATATGGTCAGCTACCCATTCTTCGAAGACGGCAATAATGATCAAAGCTGTTATAACATTAACGAACTTACAGGATTCGACTGGGGTGATGATGAGTTCACCTTGGCGGCGTAGCCAATTTAACATTGTCAGCTCGTCCTTTAATTTGTTTTCGGACTTCTTTTCATTTTACTTGTAAACATAATGTTGATGAACATGGCTATGGATGTTTCTCGTGGGGATCGATGCTTGATCTGTGTATGTTCCACCTTAGATTACTATATTTTAAATGAGTTTATGTGCCGCTAATGTTCTTATGACTTGCGCTGGGTGACAACTAACATCCACTCCTCGTCCTTCATACCACAATTAACTGTTTACTTATCTCCCATTTGAAATATAGTTTACTTGGGGAGATCACATTTCTGCATCCCTATTTTGTATATATTTGTTTATAAATATATATAATCTTTTAGTGAGTAGGGCGATTCCCCTTACATTTTACTTCAAAAAACAAAAGGCAACGAAAAGCTTTGAGCGATTACAATCCTTTTTGGAGGGCCAGAGCCTGATTCAAGAAAAAGTTTGGAACATATTTTTACTTAAGAATTATTAGTTTTTGTTAGTTTTTCCAAACAGATTTAAAATAAAATAGCCTACACACTGTGAGAATATAAAAATATAACTCTCAATCCTCACTATAACTTGAAGTCTTAGTGTACTGGTTAGAGACTTTAAGATGCTATCGAAGTAACTCAGGTTTAAAATCTCACCAATCATAAATTTAATGTGGATTTTATATAAAATTTACTTTGCTACCACACTACAGGCTTCGACTCGTAAAAATAACTTTGGCACGCATAAATTAGTTCAACTAACAAATTAAAGGCCCAACATTTATAGTTAAAAGGCCTACACGTATAATTTAACTACTAATTGGTCAGTATGTATAATTAAGGGCCCAACTACTTCCCAATCCAAAAATGACAATCTTCAATTTGAAAGTAAAATAAATAGAGAGGTTTTTTTTCCGTTTAGCAAGAAAAAAAACAGAGAGGATATGTCAGTGAAAATTAGAATGGTTAATTAAGGATGGACCCCTTGTACTATCGCGCAGATGGACACTTGTATTTTCGGTCAATTGCAGATAGTCTCCTTTTAGTTCTATTATCTAGTGTAAGACGCTTAATGGACAATTTTATGGAGGATTCGGATAATCTCATCCAATGGCTGAGATTAAAGCTGCATAAGGTAATCTGGTAAAGTAAACAGTCCACTAAAGAGAGGTAATTAATGCTTCTGTTATTGAGTTCTCCATTTCCCCATGCAATCTCACGGCTCAGGCAACCCAACAGTCACGAAGAGCAGTTCTCTCTCAATCGGAAATTCGTCCAGCAGCTCTCGTTCGTCGATCATCTTTCTTCAGCTCTCGTTCAGCAAGAAATCGTCAAGCAGCTCTCGTTCAACGTTCTTCAGCTCTCTCGTTCATCGTCCAGCAGCTCTCGTTCATCGTCTAGCAGCTCTCGTTCGGCGTTCTTCAGCTCTCTCGTTCATCGTCCAGCATCTTGCCATTTTTAAACATTTTATGGAGATTTAAATGGAGAGTTTGAATTCAGGTGTGTAGTGTCTAGTTGTTTTGATTGTAATGAATCGCGATTCAGTATTTAAATTCTTAGTCATATGAATTATTATATAGGAGATTACATTCTTAAACATTTTATGGAGATTTAAATGGAGAGTTTGAATTCAGGTGTGTAGTGTCTAGTTGTTTTGATTGTAATGAATCGCGATTCAGTATTTAAATTCTTAGTCATATGAATTATTATATAGGAGATTACATTCTTAAACATTTTATGGAGATATAAATGGAGAGTTTGAATTCAGTTGAACACGTTATAGTTGTTAATCTAGATTAACTGCATTGAATCGAGATTCATTGTTAGAGTTTGCAGTGTTTTTCCTAATTTATTCATTTGTTTACTGCAGTGAATCTGAATTCAATGCAGTGAATCGAGAATAACTCCAGATTAATTTGCAATGATATGAATTCAATAAAGTTAATTGAGATTCACTCCAGTGAATCTAGATTCATTTCGATGAATCCCGATTCAATAAATCAAAACTTAGTCCTATGACTTATTCTCTAGGAGTTTACATTCGTGAACATTTTATGCCAATTTAATTGGAGAGCTTGAATTCATTGAATCCAGAATCACTAAAGAAAACATGGGAATACATTATGAAAAATCATTATATTCTCTAATAACTAGAACGTGTTCAAAGGGATTCACGTGTTTAATGAAGTGAATATGGATTCAATATACTGAATCGAGATTCACTACAGTGAATCGAGATTCATTGCCATGAATCCAGATTCATTATATCAAAATATAGCCATATTATTTATGTTGTTTTATTTTCAGTTGTTGGCAGCAATGAACAAATTAAGGAACCACATGTTATAAATGCATCGGACAGTGATTTTGGGGAAGATGGAATGGACGAAGTTAGCTCGATTCCTTTTGAATCACCAGGTGGTGGTATGTATTGGAAACCTCGGGTTGGAGCTGAATTTAAACCTTATCTAAACCAAAGCTTCCGATCACTAGAGGATGGTATAGAGTTTTACCGAGAGTATGGACGTAAAAGTGGGGTTGAGATCAGACGGCATACAGAGAAGAAACATGAGGACGGTACAGTTCTTCTTAAACACATTATTTGCAGTAGAGCTGGCAGCAATGAATCAAAGATGGATGTTGATTATGAGGATTTTAGTAGCAGTTCGAAAAAGAGAAGGAGAACTGTATCTAGTAGATGTGGTTGCAAAGCTAAAGTTGTTTTTAAGTTTGATGGTTTGAAAGGATATAATGTTCTCTCCTTCGTTGATTTGATGGTTTGAAAGGATATAATGTTCTCTCCTTCGTTGAAGAGCATTCTCATTTTTTGGTCTCCGGTAGTGGGAAACAATTTTTGAAGTCAAATAGAGTTCTCGGTCTCGCACATAAGAAACTTGTATTTGATGCAGCAAAAGCCAACATGGGGCCTAACAAATCATATAACTTTGCTAAGGAGTTGTGTGGAAGTTATTCTAATGTTGGTGCTATGTGTACCGAGTTTAAAAATTGGAGTAGGGATGTGAAGCTTTATATTGGTGATCGAGATGCTCAAATGATCATCGAGAAGTTCACGGATAAGAAGGAGATGAGTGATGGATTTTTCTATGATTATGCAGTTGATGAAGGCGGTCGATTAACTCGCATCTTTTGGGCAGATGTTATTGGGCGAAGAAATTACGATGTATTTGGAGATGTGATATCATTTGACTCTACATATTCCACAAACAAGTAAGATTTTATAGTTAATCTCTTACGATTTTCAATATTGTAATTATATATCATAGTGAATCTTATATTTTTTGTATGTGATACAATAGGTACAACATGAAGTTTGTTCCATTTACTGGTCTCGACAATTATAAGAAGTGTGTTGTATTTGCAGCAGGATTGATAGCTAAAGAGGACATTGATAACTATGTCTGGATTTTTGAGGTATTCATGAAATGCATGATTCGCGAGCCAAAGTGTATTGTTACAGATCAGTGCCCTGCCATGAAGCAAGCTATACCAACCGTCTTTACAGAAGCACGTCACCGTTTGTGCATGTGGCACATCATGAAGAAATTTAACCAAAAGGTAATGAATCCCACATATAAATATAATGAATCCTCATTAGACAAATACTGAATCTTTCGTTATATATTTATATTGTAGTTGGCAAAATGCATTTCGAAGATGGATGATTTCAAGAGGAAGATCAATGCACTGATTTGGAGTATAGATATAGATCCAGCAACATTTGAAGTCGGTTGGAAAGATGTTATGAAAGAATATAAGCTTGAAAGTAATGAATGGTTGTGTGAACTGTATAACATTCGGGAGTCATGGATTCCAGCCTATTATGATGATGATCCAATGGCCGGTTTATTACGGACTACATCAATATCAGAGAGTGAGAACAGTTTCTTTGACAAATTCAACCGTAGATCTGACACATTAATGGAATTTTATCTTCGATATGAGAGTGCTATGGAGAAGCAAAGGCATACAAACGCAAGATTAAACTATGAAGGAACAAAGTCGATGCCAAGAATGGACACGCCATTGTTATTGGAGAGGGATGCAGCAGAGTTGTACACTCGAACAATGTTTTATGAGGTACAGAGTGAGATAATGTCATCTTGTTATGATATGAGTATCAACAGTATATCAGAAGAAGATGGCGTGAAGATTTTTTCCATAAAGGACAAAAAGAGACATGGAAAAATATTTGAGGTAAAACTTAATAATGGATATTGAAACAATAGAAATTGAATATATTTTCAATGCAATGAATCGCGATTCAGTGTAGTGAATCTCGATTCACAACACTGAATCGCTCCGTGCTAATATACATTGCTTTTTTGAATTTTAGGTGAAACACGCTTATTTGAACAATGACGTGCAATGTACGTGTAGGCTGTTTGAGAAAATGGGTATAGTATGTAGACATGGTTTTTTTGCACTGAACCAAGCTGATGTAACAAAGATACCAAGACATCTTGTTGTTAACCGATGGACAAAAGGTGCTGAGATGAGGCATTTATTGCAGTTCAAGGAAATATCAGAACAATGCAATGCAATTGAAGTTACAAATCGTAAGTTGAATGACATAATTGCAGTTCAAGGAAATATCAGAACAATGCAATGCAATTGAAGTTACAAATCGTAAGTTGAATGACATATGGTATGATTTCCAATCCTGTGTGAGTTTGGCAGGTTTAGATGGTGAGAGACTTGACTACCTGGAAGGGAAGTTGAAGGAGCTGAAGCACAGTTTGCGTGAATCTAGTTGGAAATCTGACACACAGAACAAAAATGATGTAATGGAGTTTTTTGTTGGCTCAAAAATACCAGCGGAAGTGATCGTTAAACCTCCCATTGAAGGTAGAAACAAGGGGTGTGGACGGAGAATTGTTGGTGATTATGAGAAATCACTTACTCAACGAAAAAAGAAGGTGCCAAGGCTGTGTAATATGTGCAAAAAAATCGATTTCCATGACGCACGTACATGCCCATTAAAGAAAACAGTACAGCAAAGTGATGTTTAATTTAGTTGTTATATTTCATTTTAGAATCATTTTTATGAATACATTTCTTATGCAAATTGCTGAATTGTGTAATTCTTAACTACATATATTTATTGGATTATTAATCACATGGTTACGATGTGTCATGTTAGTATATTGAATTGAGATATACTCATATAGCAAGTGAATTCCATTATTATTAGTTGTATTATTTAAGCAGGTATGATAAAGTCGTTGTATGCAGTCATCAGTTTGAATTTAATTCGCGTTAAGCGATTCTGGACTAACTATATTGAATCTAGATTGATCGCAGTGAATCTAGATTATCTGATATTGAATTTCGATATCACTATAGGGATTCATTATAATCAATCAAACAATCAAATTACTTGATTGTTTCGGTTTAAATTATTATGGACTAACTATAATGAACAGATTTTCATTTTAGTGAATCTGGATTCACTGATCTGCATATGGATTCACTATAGTGTAGTGACTAAGATAATATCGACTTACTGAATTTTTTAGTGTAGTGAATCGAGATTCACTTTATTGAATCTGGATTCACTATAGTGAACCCAGTTTCAAAATAATAATTTAGTAATAACTTAGGATAATATTGAAACAGTGATCCAAGATTCAATACATACAATCCATAATAAGAACGATCAATTTATTTGTACGTTACATAAAAGCTTGAATTATAACTCACATTATATGATGTAATCGAAATTCTTCCATTTGCATTCACTACCTTCACAGTATTTTCATAAAATCTGAAATAAAACTATGACAAAGCTATTCTCATAAAGCAGTTTTTATATAGAAAAGCAGTTCAACACAAACTAGAGTATTCCATAACATTAAGTGACAATGTACTCAATAACTGTAAACTTCAACATTGAAAATTATGATGATTTCAGAATATCATTTTCTTTGAGATCTTGTGATCTTCCTGGTCTCTTTTTTGAATTTGGCAGTTTCAGCATGGTGCAGTTGGGCTTTCCTGATGACTTCTTTGGCCAATTCATTTGTTGGTTCAGTAAGAATTTGGCAACAATATATAGACCTCAGTCTATGTAGCTGATTTTTTAATCGCTCCTGTCGATATGAATAAAAGTTCAGTTAAAGATTCAGTAGCTATATTCTAAATTTTATTAATACAAAAAGACTAAATGTAAATTATCAACACATTATTAGTTTAAACACTTACACCCTCTCTATGAAAACCAGAGTTCCAATTTGCTGTACCACCGCCCATGTAGGTCTCCATATGTCTCATGACAAAAATAGCACAATCAAATTTGTTTTTGGCCGTTCTCCACTCCATCTCAAGTCTGTCAGGCGTTAATGTATTTATTTCACTCGCCTTGTGATGTTTTTTGTGTGCCAAATATCTCACAAAATTGTGGTGCTGTTTAATCAAAATTAATCATTGTCACATAATAAATCCAAATTATTATACAGTAATGTTTAATGTAATATACAATTTGTTTTGGTTGTTTATATGCAAACAGTATTAATGACATTGAATCACGATTCATTGGATCTAGCTCGCTAGAATTTAATAGAGTTAGTTCACCTGGATTTACTCTAATGAATCTGGATTCATATTAATGAATCTTGATTCATTAGAATTAACTATAGGTAGTGCATAGTGATTATGTGATGTGAACACAGATTCACTAGCTATATTGAATCGAGATTCATAGTAAGATGTGAATCCAGATTCACTAACTCTCTATAGTGAACCCAGATTCACTATAGTGAACCCAGATTCACTATAGTGAACCCAGATTCACTATAGTGAACCCAGATTCACTATTGTGAATCTGGATTCACTCATTACTGTTTTTGGCCAGTAAATGTTTAAAGAACATACGTAAGGTGGAAAAAACATACCAAACCCTCAGGACGACCTTGGTATTTTTCCTTGTAGTCTGGGCAGTTTTTGCTATTGTCAATCAGCTCCATACTTGGATTCTTTAGCCCATAGCACACAATGTAGAAATGCTCAAACGCATTTATGGGGAAGAAGACCTATTTGTCATGAAATTTAATAAGAGATTTTACAGATATAGTTAAAATTGGGCTAAAGAGAAAAAACATTGTATTCTAATCTTTACCATATCAATCTCATTAAACTTCATATGTGGATACAGAGAAAGTTGCTCATCCATCTGGGTAGCAAACCGATTGTATCTCAATTTATCATTGACCTCATCTGTGTGATGAATGTTGCAAAACTGTACAACATAAAACTGGTTAAATAATATGTTACTCAAGTGTTATTTTAAATAAAATAAAGGAAGATACGTACGGTTGTCTCAACATTGCAGAAGAATCTAAGTGGAGAATTTCCAGACTTCATTTGTTCTCTGCTGTTCAAAATATAGGACCAAATGCTGATTACATTTGCCTCAATGTAATAAGGAAAGTCTTGAAAGTAGGTAAGAAACATTCAATTTGTCTCCACTTAAAAACCATTTCACTGAAAAAACAGTAACAATATTCAATTTAATAAAGGGACAAAATACTAAAAATAGTGAATCTCACACCTAATAATAAAATATCAAATAAGTGTTCAGAACTCATAAATTCTCTTCTTCAGCGGTATCATTACCTGAATGCCTTACTTCTCTATGTACCCAATTCCATATGATGCTTTCCAGCTGACTTTGCCTAGCAGTAATCTGAGATACCCTCTGCACCCATGGTGACCGAAGAGACGTTGCAGGTTTCACCATCCTCTTTTCTTCCCCCCTTCCCGCATGTCCCTTATTTTCAGCCAACTGAACTTTCTTACCTTCACATTCATTTACTGCAGCAGCATCTTCAGGTTGTTTATCAGTTCTTCGTACAGATTCATCAATGATTTCAGATTCACAAGCTTTAGCAATCTGAACAACATCAACCATTTCCACTGATTCAGTCTGAGTATCCTGTGTCAGCCCAAGAGAAAAACTAGGTTCCTCAGTCTGTGGGGTACTACATTCGCTGATCTTCCGTCTCACTGGTCTGTCATCCTTTTTCATGCTAACAGACTCTATAATCTTATCAACTTCTTGAATAAACATTGGGGAGATTTGTGTTTGTGGTATATCACCTGATATTGGATCAACAGCAGGGGAACAATGCATATCTCTACTCACCTTGGTGTTCACGTTAGGGGAATCATCAACAATGTTTCCCACAGCTGTTTCATCGTCACAGGTACTTACACGATGTCCACACCCCTGCACAAGAACATTTGAAACTCTTTGTTGAATTTGAAAGAGCTCATTGTCATCGGGGAACAGCTTTCTCATTGTCTCACACTCAGCATCAAATCTATTTTTTTGCAGATTCCAGCTCTGCAGCTCTCCGTTGAACCCTCTCAATACAATCCTACATTTTGAATCACAAACATTGGTCACCATAAATTATTAACATGGCGATAGACAAGTTTCGATAGATTGAGATTACATTCAATGTATTTCAATCAAGATTCAGTAATAGTGAATCCAGATTCATTCCAGTTTCATTTTAATGAATCGAGATTCAGTAATAGTGAATCCAGATTCAGTTCAATAGATCGATATTGAGTATCACTGAATCCGGATTCACTTAACTGAATCTGAATTCAGATTAACTTGATTGATAATCACTGATCTGAAACGAGATTCATTGCTATTAAAATGATTCATTGTTCTGAATCGACATTTAGTTTAAGTGAATCGAGATTCACTCCTACTGAATCTAAAATATATTGAATAAACAAAGTATTCCAACTTATTTTGCTAACCTTTCTAATTGTGTCAACACTTTTAGGAGAGTTTCCAGTAGCACTCTGCATTCGAGATGAAGGTGGAAGTTCAACCCTCTCTGTAAATGCACCTTTGCCAAATGAATTTGTACTTATTTCCTCTGACTGTCTTTCCTTCAAGGTGAAGTCAGTCCATCCTAAAAATGTAGGGGTTGTTCTCTCAACCAACCTCCTACCTTTGAACAGAACCCGATCG